TTCTCAAACTGTCAGTTGGATTATAGATTATGTTTCATCTGGGATTTTAGTCCGTTTAAAATACGATAAAAACAAACGTTCTGCTGCTACGGAGGCTAACAGATTTAGGACATGTTCTCTATGACTACAATTGTACATATTTGGTGTGTAACAGTTAGTATTTGTTTCATGGGTACATCGTTATGAAGGCAGTCAACAGATCTCATCTCCACACCTGCACTCGTTTGCCAAACCATTCCAGCACAAATACTCGACCATCTGGTGTAACAGCAACGTCAAGAGGACCATTCATTTGACCAAGACCTGAACCCTTGCTACCAAAGGACCTTATGACCTGACCGTCTTGACTGAAGACTTGTACGCGGTGATTATCTCGATCACAGACAAGAAGCATTTCTTTACCAAACACAGCAAGTCCATACACACCATCAAACTGACCTTCTTTGTTGCCTTTCATTCCAAACGTGTACAGTAGACCACCATTCTCGTCAAAAACATAAACAGTGTTCACATCAAATAACGATACAAAGTACTTATTGTTGTGATAAACTAATGAGGAAGGCTCTTTATGACCTTCATCCGGAACGGCATTCAGTTTGATGTCATGAAGGTGATCATGACTGTGTCTATCAAAACACTTTATAAATGTCTCTTTAGTATTGATATTGTAACACGAACATGCGATGACTTGATTGGCTGTACACATTCTTTTCAAAAGCATTCCTTTAGGTAGTTCGATAAGAGTTTTTTTGTAGGTACCATCGAAGTCAAACACCTTGATACAGCCACAATTATCTGGATTATCGGTGATKACTATTTTATCCTCATTGAAGATGACTCCAMMTGGAKWAMTYAGCTGACCWTCTCCTGATCCTGCACCACCAATGTCTCGCAAATACTCTCCATCAGCATTGAACAACACGACACGKAAATCYTTTTTATTAMGATYACGATTAASCACAGCAATATCGCCACTGTCATTTACATSAAGTKYAATAGGAKTGGAMRTCCTYTCTTKRACATCAATTATCTTCAAGRGTTTAAATTGTGCTTTAGCATCAATTGTCTCAATGTTCTGTGGTGAGTTTTTGATYTCTTTTCCTCCAATACTCACCATAACTTTGTACGGTGAAGGTTTCTCTGCTTTGTACTTCACTGGAAATCTACCAGTTTCACTTTCAATCAGTTCTTTCTGCACATYGTTGYCATBGACATCTTTGATTTGYACMTTAATTATATCTTTATTGGTATGGSATACATCACGTTGTGAATTTCTTGTAACGATCACAAATTCATTGATAMAACCACATCTGACGTTACTTACAAATTCAATAGAACAACGAGACGGATCTGTCTCGCTTTCCACTACCTCRCCSAGTTGGAATTTTCGCATCATGGCAATGGCTTCCGCGTTTGGAATGAAATGAAAGCTTGTGTTTCGCTTGACTGGTTTGGTCGATAAGGTGGACTTGTTTTGCGCTGTGGTTTTACAAACTTCTAGTAAATTTTCGTAGCTTTCCAATATGAATTTTTCTAAGTTTTTCTCTTCCGTTGATTCACACTGATGTTTCAGTTCAGTGACTTGTTGAATGTTGCCGTTGATCTTCTTTTTCTCGTCTTCATTTGCTGTTGTTTGTTCTGCAAGGAGGCCGTCCAAGGTASCAATCAAAGCGTTTTGACGGTCTTGTAGAATCTTCATCATAGCTTGTGTGTCATTTTGTGCTTTTGCCTTTGCTGCATCAACCTCGCTTTGAATTCTTGTCATATTTTCATTGGACAGTTCTAATTCTTTCTTGTAACCGATAAGCAGCTCATTCAGTCGATCCTTTTCTTTTCTGATGAGCTTTTTAGCATCTTCAGCTGCCTGCTCGATGGTGACCCTGTCATGGGTGCCGTGTGATGTTG